AACTGCCTCTACCATGTCTCCACCACCATCACCTCCAACACTGTGTCTCCACCATTTCAGCATCCTACCATTGCTGTACCCCATTCCTTCCAGATCCCGTCACCACCATGTCCTATTTCTACTGTCTTACCACAACTACCATGTCCAGTCACCATCGTGTCCAACCACTGCCATGTTTCTCACCTCCCTTTTGGTTCTCAGGCCAGTTCTTGTGCAGCACCAGGTCCCAGCAGCAGTGTTGACCTGGCTGTGTGATGACTCTGTGCCCTGGAGCAAGCCTAAGAATAGCCAGTGTGGTCTTTTGTTCTTTGAGACATGCTTCTAGAGTAGTGTCCAAAAAAGTGGAGGAAGTTCAAATCATGGGCAGACTCAGTATCAGTTTTCCATCCTGGCCTGGCTAGGCATTTACTGCTGGGTAGGGATGATCTGAAGATGCTTTCTATAGAAAGTGTTGAGTGGTTTTGACGCATGCTCAGAGTAGCATTCTTGGCTGAGGTGCTATCTCCAGCAGACATGGCCCTGCCATCCCTGGCTTTGGTGGGATCTGGCATTCTATTGTCCTGGAGTGCTGGGTTGGTCTAGCAGAACCCCACCTTGGTGTGGTGTGGTCACACCTTGGCTCAGTGTTGACTGGAGCCAGGATCAAGCATTGCCTGTGCTTGAGCAGCATATGGTACCACGATTTTTATCATACCTTCTTACAATGAGCCAGGAAACTTTCTCTGCTTAAAAATGTGTGTTTATAAACAATAGGCTTACAACGAATACTCCCATCTGTTAGGTGAGCATAATTTGTGCAGGAATTCCGGTAAGAGGTGGAGGACTTCGCAACGTTTTTGTAGATTTTCCCCTGGTGCGACATTATCCTCGGAGACGGCACACAGCGGCATATGTCTAATACTCACTTTCCTATCTGCTGCTTCCTGTTATTTGAAAGCAATGCTGTTTTTGTGCATTAGCATATAAGATTATTGTAGAAATTCATAAGAATTTTACATCTATGCAAGATACTTAAAAAGAGAAAAAAAAGTAGAATGGGTAACGGTTATGTAAATATGGTTATGTCGCCATGATCGCATTGTCCTTGCAGCTCTCCAGAGCTGTGCTCCGATGACCTGTCCTCATACTCCTCTAAAAACTTCTGTTGATTTTGCGTTAACCTGATCTCAGCACCCCTTGTTCCTGTAATTACAGTACACAACAATCAAAGCGTGCAGCCTTCCAGTCTGATTTGTAATTTAAATACACGGCATTGACTCTTTGTGCTCGGTTTGGTATATTCTGATTGTCTTCACTAATTAATTTTGTTTGGGATGAACTGTTTCTCATAATAGAACAGAATTTTTAAGATTAATGTTCAGCAATGTTTTTTTTTTCTTATCATAAAAGATTTTATGAGTCCTGCCATAGGACCGCCGCAAGGTTATCAGAGGGAGACTCACTTTGATTAATATTTGCTTACTGCTGAATTGCCTGTATTGTCCAAGTGTTTTATTCACTTAAAATTATTCCTCCGGGTTCCCTTTTCCAGGGTGACTAATTGGACATACTTGAATAAAAGAGATGAGCGATTAGTTGAATATCAATGCTTCCAGGTCTACTTGGTACCGAGCAAATAGAACACACTAATACTCTGTCTTTGCCTGAGTTGTTTTAAGTTTCTCTGATTACACTTTGTAAGAAGACATGTCTTCAAAAGATTAGACAGCCACAGCCGCAACATCACTTCTGTTAAGGGAGAATGCCACTGCGTTTTCAGATATTAGAGAGTTTGTGTATACACAGCCTTTCATGACCCGCCCCTTTCCCGGTGTGGAAGGAATCCAGGCGCCAAGTCTTACTTCTTTTTTTCTTCATTCAGAATGATAGTTTTCTTTGTTCTATTACAATGTGAACATTGTAATGTTTTATTCACTTGATCCTTTTGGGTAGGGCCTTGGACATTATAAGAGCACTCACCACTGAGCAATGCCACCTATCCATATATTTTATTTGAATTAGTTTTGTGTATGCATATGTACAAATGTGAGTGCACTTGGAGGCCAGGGTAAGATACCCTGCTCTGTCACTCTCTTCCCCTCCTTATTGCCTTGAAACAAGGTCTCTCACTGACTGTGGACCTAAGTCTGTGGCCAGAAAGCTGTAACAATCCTCCTGTCTCTGTTCTCTCTTAACACTGGGGCTTTTGGTGTATGCAACCATGCACAAACTTGGTGGCTCTGGGGATGTGAACTCTGGTCTTCTTGCTTGCAATGCTAAACCATCTCCTCAACCAATGTGTCTTATTTTAATATGATATAGTAGGCATATAACCCATTGTCTATGTATAGTGTACACAAGTCTGTGAGTTTAGAGCTAAGCACATACCCTGACACCACTGCCACAACTTCCTCTTCATCCTTTGCAAGCCTTTGCCCCCACCCTGTCTTTTCCACACTGCTTTTATAGTAAAAACATTGAAGGGCTGGCAAGATGGCTCAGCAGGTGAAAGTTCTTTGCCATGCAAGCTTTTTGACCTGAATTTGGTGGCTGGAGCTCATGTAAAGGTAGAAGGAGAGAACATGTTCCACAGTGTTGTCCTTTGACCTACACATGCACATTGTGGCATGCATATCCCCAACATATCATGCACACCCACATTGATAATAAACAGAATTTAAAACATTCTCAAAGAATGCTAGATAGTCTCTTGGTCAACCTTAACTACACAGTACCCTGTTGTTAGCTGTGTCCTCCATGCCTCACAGTACATTGCTATGACATTTCCATTTTATCTAATTAACGATTGGTTTTCATTGGTGCTGCCTCATCTCCCTGTTGTCGCCCTTGCATGCTGTTTCTCCTCCTCTGACTGGCTTGTTCGAGTGAGCATAATGTCTGCCAGGCTCATCATGTTCTTGGGGGAAACCTGACTTTCTCGGTTTAAGTCTATATAGTATTTTCTTTTGTGCATATACCATGTTCCATCTGTTCATGTGCCGACAGATTCTCGGGTTCTTTCCAGAGTTTGGGTGCTATGGAACTTCAGTGATCATGGAGTTTAGGTGTCTTCATGTTCTTGATTTCAGTTCTCTTTCAGAGAAGCAGGGTTGGTCTATAGTAGTTCCATTTTTAATTTTTCAAAGAACACTCATTCTGTACTCTTGTCTCAGTTTACATGCCCAGCAACACTGGACAAAGACATTCCATCTCTCTGTCTTTAGCATGGTTCTTAGGTTTCTTAGAAGCTGGGAGGTGCTGTCTTAGCATGGTTGGGGTTTGCATTTCCCTTACAGTGAATGTACTGAGTACTTTGAATGCTCTGAGTACTGTGAATCCTCTGAGTACTGTGAATGCTCTGAGTACTGTGAATGCTCTGAGTGTTGTGAATGCTCTGAGTATTGTGAATGTGCTGAGCACTGTGAATGCTCTGAGTACTGTGAATGCTCTGAGCACTGTGAATGCACTGAGCACTGTGAATGTGCTGAGCACTGTGAATGCTCTGAGTACTGTGAATACACTGAATAGTGTGAATGTGCTGAGTATTGTGGATATGCTGAGCATTGTGAATGCTCTGAGCACTATGAATTCTCTGAGCACTGTGAATGTGCTGAGCACTATGAATTTTCTGAGTACTGTGAATGTGCTGAGTACTATGGGTACACTACATTCCTTTTTGCAAACCCCTTGGCCATCTGCCGCCTTCTTCTTCAGAGGAGTATCTAGGCCTGCTCAGTTTAAAGGAGCTCCATAGATATTTTGAATATTAACCCTATATCAGACAGTTTACACAAAGCTTGCTCTTGGTTTATTTGTGAACATGGTCTACAATCCAGCTACATACAATCTCGGGTCTGGGTTCAGAATCAATTGAATTCTATCCAGCAATCATTAACTACATCCCTGCTTGCTTCAGACATGGATCTCAAACATCCCAACTCATAAAACTAATGCTATAGTTACAGCAGGACGGTTATAGAAACAGTGTCTCTTTCTCACTGTCCTTTGAAGCTGATGAGGCTTTAGAGAGGTGTGGGGTGTGAGGGATTATTATAGCCCTAGGAACAGAAACTAGAATCAATCATTATTACACAGGTAAATTATTACGTCCGAGACTTTTTCTGTAATCTGAAAAAACAAAATTATTGTCAGTGTCAGGCACATGGAAGAGGAAATCTTGAGGCGCATGCATTATACTAAGAGATATTCACACTGGGGTGAAGACAGAACTGTCCTGGTCTTGGACCTGCTTGCCTAAGGACAGCCACAGCTCATCCTGAAGGTGGCAGTGGTCTTCCATACAGAGGGAGGGACATGGACTTTGTGTGAAGGAGTCTATAGTTTCAGAAATTATTTCTGGAAATTCTGAGATTTGGCAGCATGAGAATAAGTGATTTTCTTAAACTGAAAACCCTGCTTTAATTGCAGTGACCACTGGTTATTAACATTTCTCAGATACCTGACAAGAAGCAGCCTAAGGGAGGGAATGTTTTATTGTGGCTCACAGTTCAGGGGGATACAGTCCAACATGGCAGAGAAGGTATGGCACCAGGAGCTTGAGGCAGTTGGTTACGTTGCCTTGGCAGTCAGAAAACAAGGTAAACAGGAATTATGGTCTGCTGTAAAACCTCCCCAGTGACCCACTTTCTCCAGTGAATCTGTATCTTCTAAAGGTTGCTAAACCTTCCAAGCCAGCATGACCAACTGGGGACAGAGTGTTCAGACAACTTGGTTCAGCCTACAGGGACATTACATATTCAAACCCCAATAGCAAGGTAATGCCTAATTCATGCATGACACTGTGCTAATGCAGGAGACAGAATGAGGTCCTGACTCCATGAAACAGTCTGCAGGCTTACTGGATTTGGGGTGTTGGAGAAGCAAGCTCACAGTGGTCTCAATCGGGGAGGGCTTGGATCCATCTTGAGTACCAGAGAAATGGATCACTTGAGCATCTTGTTGAAGAGATGCCCTTGCTCATCTAGCCTTGACCACTGACACTTCTTTTTGGCATTTTGCAGGTATATCATCCCCTCTTTACAGAAGCTGGATGCCGGGTTTTACCGCTGCGTGGTGCGGAACAGGATGGGAGCTCTCTTGCAGAGGAAATCAGAAGTACAAGTGGCATGTACGTGTGCAGCGTGAGCACTGGCCTTAAGTGATGAATGGAGTTGCAGCAGCTGTGGGGAGGCACTTCCTGTTGCAGCAATTGAAACTTGTCCTTGGTTCCTCTAAAATAGTGGGACAAGACCTGGGGATGTAATTCAGTTGGTAGAATGTTTGCCTAGCTTGCATAATGCTCTGTGTTACAACTGTAGCACCAAACTGGGAGGTAGAGGCAAGAGAATCAGAAGTCCAAAATGATCCTTGACTACATAGTGAATTCAATGCCAGGTAAAGAGACACTGCCTGTAAATGAATGAATAAATAAATAGAGTAGAATTAAGGTTAAAATTAGTATAGGGCTGGCTAAATATCTCAATGGGTAAAGGTACTTGCCACTCAAGAGAGTTCCATCCCCAGGATCCACATGGTGAAAGGAGAGTATGAAGTCCTTCAAGTTGTCCTCTGACCTTCACATGATCACACATGTCCTGTAGCAAGACATGCTCATATAAACGTAAGCATAAGCACTCACATAAACATACAAATAAATAAATATAACTTAAAAAATCTAAAACAAATTTGGACACCCAAGTAAGATGTTGCTTTTTTCCAACTGAAAAGATTAAGGATTTCCTAAACTTGTAGGAGCAGGAGGAGAGGAAAGAAAGGTGGTCTGTATAAACCAGCTGCTCTTGGCTTGTTGGTATTGGGATTAAAAATACTTTTAGAGTAAAAAGTTGACCCCAGTTAAGGTCAGATTTTATTGTTTCTTCCCCATGATCTGCTAAGGAGCCATTTTGCTGTTCATTGGATACAGAGAGTTAAGTCCCAGCTGTTATTAATGTAGCAATCTAGTCTTTATTCTGCAGATCCATTTTGGGGAACGTAACTTTTAAAAGAAGGCACCATCAAAAGGCAGAGACTTTGACTGTTCACGAAGTCTTTAGGGATGGGAGACCTGGCCTATGCCTGTGCCCCTTCCCTATGATAGGAAGTCTTTGAAGACTAGGATCTGCCTAGTGGACTGTCTGCTTCAGTATAGTTTGAGAATACTACACAAATGTCATCTTGTTTAAAAGTAAGCAAAAAAGCATTCTGAATTTTTACAGTATAGGATGCCCATAGGATTGAGGCCACACTGTAGTGCTTTTCTTCTGTTTTGGTGGTTTCAAGATTGCTGTTTCTAATTTTGGCCCTCATTATGATCTGTATCTTTATGTTAGCATAGAAAATAACATGGACCTATCTCACTCTCCTATCATCATCATGATGACTGGGGGACGTCCCCGCATTATATGTGTTTGGCTATTGTTTAAGCCACTAGGAAGAAAGACATCAATCTTTCTGGTTTGTGAAGATGAAGTCACCACCAAAGCTGTCTACAGAATAATTCAGAACTTCTATTCAATAGTAAAATTGAAAACATAATAAATAGAGTGTGGATCAATATCCAAACCATATCTGAGTAAGTCAAGAGCCTGGAATTGATTATAGCATACTAAATGTTATTTATGATGTTTGGACTTTGTGTAGTTGCCCATGCCCTTGTTCCCACCGTCTGTTTCTCACCCTTACAGTTTGTGAGCACTTCCTTCACTTTTAAATAAGCAAGGGCATTTTTCTACGGTGTTACATAGCTCTTCCTTCTGTGCCTTCATATCATGCCCTGACACATAATAAAATAGCTTTTTAATGGTAAAGCTATATCATTTCTTTCATGAAAAAATTTTAAAGTAAGATATAATTAATAATATGTGGTAGCTAGGCATGGTTGGTGGACACCTTTAATCCCAGCACTCAGGAGGCAGATCTCTGTGAGTTCAAGGGCAGCCTGGTCTACTTATTGATTTCCAGGCCAGGCAGGATTACATAGTGAGACTCTGCCTCAAAACAAAACAAAAGAAATAAAGAATATATGGCGGCTAGGGGCATGGCTCAATCAGTAAAGTGCTTGCTACACAACTATGAGGAGCTGAGTTTGGATCCCAGCACCCACATACCATGCCAGAACCAGCCATAGTGCTGGGGAGGTAAATACAGCAGCATCCCTGAGGCTTGCTGGCCAGCCCATCTAGCCAATTATCAACCTCCACATTCAGTGAGAGACAATGGCCCAAAAACCAGGTGGAGATCAATCAAGACAGATACATGATCATCTTCTGGCCTTCATATTTACACACACTTACACACACACACACACCACATGCACACCTGCATATGTTCATTCCCCCACACACACGCTTGCATATACCTGGGAACATATACACACACATCACTACAAATACACACAAATATGGTGTGGAAATAGCTCTGTGTATATACATTGACTATATCTGATCACAATATAGAAATTATTTTAAAATGTCAAATTAGTAATTTAAAAAGGTGGCCTTTCATGTCTACAGTCTAATGACTGTGACCTCATTTTTTTTAGTTGTTTTTATCAACAGAACAAAGACTCACTGCCCCAAACTATGTCATCAGTGTGGGGGTGCATAAAAGAATTCTCTGTGAACTCTCCAATGGTTGGAGCACATTGGTTCCCAAAGACTTGTGAGGGAGACAGTCACCCTAGAGAAGGAGAGGAGACCCAGGTGGGGGGAGGTGTCTGGAAGCATTTCACTGCAGCACTGTAAAAACTGCTTCAGGGGGCCTGGGATGCCTTCCAGCAGAAGTTTCTTACAGTGGTACTGTGAGCCACCATCATATTAGAGCAGGGTGACAGAAGCCCGTGGCCTTGCTGATTAGGGCCCCCGTGGCTGTTTTAGAGGCACGTGGCTCTGCCACTGCCTCTCTTACAGCCGCATCCGCACTTGTCAGCACTGCCATTCAGTCTCGCTTGTCACCTTGTTAAGTGTGGTGGCGGCGGCACCAACTTCACCGTAAAATATAGTTATTTCCCTCTCTGACCCCTACTCCTCCGCAAAAAATAGCTCGCTCCGGAACTTAAAAGTCCAATTTTTCTCTGCAGATATGGGGAATTTCATGGATACAGACCAGAGGAAAACAGTTTCTCAAGGACATGCAGCGATTCTAAACTTAGTGCCCATCATCAGCTGCCCCAGACCGCAAGTGACGTGGTTTAGAGAAGGACACAAGATTATTCCAAGCAGCAGAATGTAAGTTGTTCTGAAAACGAACGTGATTCATTTTTCGTGGCTGTACGATGTGCTTCGTAAGTGAAATGACTAAGTGGCCAGCGACTGGAAAGCCTCATTTTTGGTGGAAGCATCCCCAGTCCTTAATGAGCTGCTGTTGGTGACTGGCGTGGCTATTTTGAAGCAGCTTAAGCGCGTGGCCTTGTGTTGTCCCTTTCTGTGTGTTGTACACCCTGAACCCAAGGTCTCCTCTCCACCCTGAAGCCTGTTCTCTCTGGTTTGGAATCACCTCACTGCTGTCAGCCCTGACTTGTGTGTAGCCTCTTTTACCCAGGCCTGGTGTTGCCTTAAACAGCTGTGGGATTCCCCCACGTCCCCTAAAGCCTCAAATTCAATACTCCTTCCTGTGACGATGAAGTGTTAATTACTGCTTATTTCTCTTTATCTTTTCATTCTTCCATGGCAGTTTTATTTCCTTTCATCCAATTAGTGGCTCGCCCATCTATTGCTAATCACACCATGAGCAGTTAAGCCCTATCTCAAGGTCTTCCTGCATGTCCCACATTCAAGATATGCATTGAAGGCAGGTTTTCTCCATTTGGAGCTTTAAGTGATTAAAAAGAACATTATACCCATATTTCTTTTTATCTGAGGGGGTATATGTGGAGATCAGAGGATAACCTTGGGGTGAGGGCTCTCTTTCCACTTTGTGTGAGACAGAGTCTCTTGTTTGCTGCTGGCTACACCAGGCTAGCCCATGAGCTATCTCCATCCCCCATCTCAGGAAGAAGTACTGGGATTATAGGCACATGCTTCTGTACTTGACTTTACATTGGTTCTAAGGATCTGAACTCAGGTCCTCACATTTACAAGACAATCATTTTATTTACTGGGCCAAGGTCTCCCTAGTCTTTGATATGTGTTGCTTAAGTGAGTAGCTTGCAATCACATTGAAGGATAATATTGCAAAGACAGAAACTTCAAGGATAAAAATTTCCAAGAAAGAATCATGGAATGCTATGTGCTTGGGGTAAAAATCAAATATATAAAAAATGCATGAGGGGAAAGTTCTTGGTTCAGTTTTTGGAAAGGATGTGTGTGAAACATTTGCTGAGTGGGTTTCAGGTGAAGCTGCAAGTTAACTATGGGCTATACACTGACTTCCCCACTTAGCAGAGTACCATGGACCTCCTTCTCTAAGCCCAATGGACTCGTTATCCCAGCTTGACCTCTGAACCCTGCATGGGCCTGCTTACCAGAAGTTTCTATTTTGACAGTCATAAAAAGGAGAAAAATAGATATATATGTAACAGTCATATTTCAGAATTCTTGTTAAAAAAAATACCCATTACTTTAAATGACATGGCTGCTATGCCTTTTTCTGTATTTGAAGTTCCTTGGATATTCACCGTTGTATTGATTCCAATCATAACAGAGGTCTCTTGGGATTGGGTGAAACAAAAAGGAAGGATCGATATCTCATTGCTGTGGGAGACTGTTCTGTGGAGCAGAAGGCTGCTGAGATGCTGTCAGGCATAAATGTTCTGGAAGGTTCCAGTGTAGAGCTCGGGAGGGCGGGTGGAGGTGGGGTAAATACTCAGGTACTGAGAGCGCTGGAGTTTAGAAGGTAGGCTGCATTAGGCTTCATCTCAGACATGGAGCTTGTCATATCAAGGGCTAGGAATTTGTGGTGTTGGGATCATTTTAATTTACTTGGTAGCAAATAAATACACATTGGTTCACATGATGACATCCAGTGAAATAACTCTTAATTTTTACAATGAGATAACTCTTAATTTCATGGGCTTTTTTCTTTAACTTGCAGATTCATGCTAAAGACTATTGAATTCCTAATGAGCTAACAAAATGACAGTGTGATTAGAGTCCAACCACAGTGTCCCATCAAACAAATGATCTGCTCACACGCGTAAAACTATTGATAACCCTCCAGCCTTGGCAGTGTGGTGCATACCTTGTCTTAAAGAGAGGAGATGAGGCTGATTATGAATATTTACACTCCTACAAGGTCCTTTAGTTTTGTATTTTCCACCTCATCATCGCCCCACATTTCCTAAGTGCCTGCTGTGTGAGATGTCATAAATCAGCGCGTGTGGGCTGTTCTCCAACAGTTTATACACTGTTCCAAGATATATTGCTTCTAAGAAACTTTCACTTCAGACCCAGGTGGCTGCACACAGAGCTCAGAGGGCATCTGGTCTGCTCCATACCACCAGGGAGGGTTGCTTCTGAGATCCAGAACATTCAACCCAAAGTGCATCTCACACTGAGCACAGGTCAAGCACCCATACCTGCTTCCAGCCTCTGCATGTGAGGTCCCTTCCCGGGGACCTTATCTGTTAGGGAGGATTCTAGCCTCCTCCCAGTCTTTGTAACATTATCCTATGACCTTTAAAAGTTGACCTTTGGACTTACAATGAAGTGGATTTTTTTTTCCTTTTAAAAATAAAAAGTAACCCTTGTTTCTAGCTTGAAAAATTAGTTAAATAGCCTATTAATAATCCTAGCAGCTATTATTTATTGAGTACCTACTTGAAACATATCTTCTGTAATCCTCAGAATTGCCTTCTGGGGCACTTATCATTAGCTCCACTTACAGCTATCAGAACTGAAGTTTAGAGGTACTAACTCACCCCAGGGTGCACTGCTGACAGGCTGCAGGAGGAGGACTGAAGCCTGATTCCGATGCCAGAGCCCGTGGTTGCCTCCCTGTCAAGCCTATTCTCCTGTCTGCTTTAGCTGATGAACTCACCTCATGCTTTTGATCATGTCTTCCATGTCTTCAGGTGTTTTTCCTCATTTATTTAGAAGCCTGGCTTTCAATCTGAAATAACACGCGCTTGTGTGGGTTTGGGTAGAGGTGGTGAGAAGTGTCAAATATCCATATAGTTTAGAAATAGAATTTCAAGGGTTTCCTTTTGGATTGGATGTGGGATATAAGAGATGGAGAGAGGCATGGACAGATCTTAAGATCTAGGACCTGTTGTTGGAGAATTTCTCTCCAGCTCCCACCAAGTCCCGCCAGTCCCAGAGCCCACTTATAAAATAAACATACAGACTGTTACATTATTTAAACTGCTTGGCCATTAGCTCAAGCCTATCATTGTCTAGCTCTTACTCTTATATTTAGTCCATTTCTAGTAATCTTTACTTTGCCACATGGCTGGTGGCTTACTGATACTTTACATCTTCCTTGTCCTGGCGGCGGCTCCAGGCAGTCTCCTCTGCCTTCCTGTTTCCTCTTTTCTCCTCTCTGTTAGTCCCGCCTATACTTCCTGCCCAGCCACTGGCCAATCAGTGTTTATTTATACAGAGCAATATCCACAGCAAGGACCTGATCAGCTGGCCTGAAATGGACAGAAAATTTTAGGAGAAGCAGGTTTGCATGTGTGCTTTTGTGTGCATGCATGCGTGCATGTGCACATACTTGCACACGTGTGTGTGTGTGTGTGTGTGTGTGTGTGTGTGTTTGCATGCACATGTACATTCTAAGATGGTAGTAGTATCTTCAATTCTTTTTGGACAAGTTATGTTTAGACAAGCACAGCCATGACTAGATAGTTACATATATCAGATTCAAGGTCAGTAGAGAGGTCTCTATTGAACTTAGCCTATTAATCTCTTTGCCTATTTGCAAACTTATGAAATACATGGAGCATTAGGCCAAGACATGGAGAGTTGCAGTACATCAGCTGATGCTCTTGCCTGCCACAGAGGTTGACTTTGGCTTTTTAATTTTTTTTTTTTTTTTTTTTTTTTTTTTTTTTTTTTTTTTTGCATAGAGAAATCTTATTTTAGTAAACACAAAGTGGCAGAGGAAGCATTCTATAGTAACAAGTCCTGTGCAGGTGGCCCAGGGAGCATGGGGCAAGCCAACAGCTTAATGGTCTCCCAAGGACATCCAAGCCTTAGTTCCCGCAGCTTGTAAGCACATAGGTCACACAGGCAATGAAGAGTTCACACAGATAGAAGAGCGACGGAAGGGGAAAGGTAGACTTTGTAACTAGCATGGCCATTATTTAGTGCCTAAAGCCTGTGGCTGCCACATGCCCTAATGCTGGAAGTTCCTTTCTTTACCTTGTCCTCTGGCTTTAACCATGAGATTCCCGTTCCAGAATCTGTGACTTGTGCCTTGCAGGGAATCACGATCTCATTTCCCCTGTTAACTTCCCAGGAGCTTCTTCTCCCCTGTGAGAGGAGAAAGGCTACCCATCTCTCCTGTAACACAGGGATGGAGGTAGCCAACAGGGTTCAATGTCACCGTCTTTAGAGTGTGGGCCTCTTCACAGCATCCTCTTAAGATTTATGGCTGTAGTCAGAACTCCAGTAGAAGAGGAGACATTAGGTCAGCATCCCAGTTAGTCTATATGTGTTGGTTCTTCCCACCTGTAGGTCCTGTCCACTTGGGTGTTTCCTAATAACATCTGGGCTTCTCCTAGGGTGATATCCACTGAAAGCACACTTCTTTCTACAACTGTATGGCCTGGTATAAAAGGCAGAGGTGCAGTCCTGGAGGGCTGAATGGATGGGTGGTTGTCAAGACATGTCAGGTGGCATCTGCATTTCCCCAGCAGAAGGGGAGGAAGTGAAAGAAGCGCACTGCACAGAAAATGACTGTTGACACAGAAAAACATCTTAGAAAGGCAAATGATGCTTTGAAAGCACTGAGGGTAAGTTATACTGAGAAATTTGAATAGATGATTATGGGTTTTACGTAGCTGAGAAGATAAAAAAAATTGCATGTTTATTCTTCTGATTTACTGGATCCAAACAGTTAATTTGCTGTCTTCGCATGTCAGAGTTGAAGGCAGCTTTGTCTTATTAATGTAGTCTAAGTTGAAAACAGAAAGTCCTCTCTGTTACACTGGCTTAGATCTGTTTTCTTTCTTTTCTTTTCTTTCTCAAGCTTTGAAATGTGAATCTGGATGCCATGCAGCGTTTCTCTTAGCCCCGGGAGGTAATTCATGCCGGCAGTTATCAGATTAGGACGCAAAAACTTGGTG